AGCCTTTTAAGCTAGTGGTCAAGGGTTCGAGCCCCTTGGTGGGTGTACTTTTTTAATTAATATTTTTTAATTTAAATATTATTTATAATTATTAATAAAACTTCTATTTTACTATTTTTGTTATTTCATTATTTTAATTATACTAATAATTAAGAAAAAAAAATACATAATTAAACATATATATTTATATGAAATTATTTATCATTTTTTTATATATTCTACATTATATTAATTGAATATTTTTTAATAAAAAAGAAAAAGTTTAAAAATTACTAATAATTAATTTATTTTTATAATATATTTATCTTTATTTTTGTTAAAAAACTAATTTTTATAATTAAAAAATGAAATTTATATTTTTTTTGACAAATTTAATATCCCGTTTATTTAATATTTTTTTTTAATTTTGAATTTTTTATAATAAAACAAAAATATTATTTCTTTGTTAATAAATTTTGTTTTATATTAAATATTTTTAAATAAATTAAATTATCTTTTTATATTTTTGAAAATAAAATATTATTTAAAGAATAAATTATATATTAGTACAATTTTTTCCCCACTTCTAGTGTGTAAAATAAATTCTTTTTTTTTAAAAAATTAATAAAGTACATATAATGTTTTTATGAATTGGCTTATTCGACGACAATAAAAAGTATTTTTAATTATAAAAGTAAGAAAATTATTAAATATTATGGGCATAAAATTCATTATTTGTAAATATATGTAAAGTTAATTGTTAATTATTAATTTTAGTTTTTTATGTAAATAATATAAATATCAAATTATATTAAATTAATTATTAAAATATATCTAAAAAAATACAAATAATTTTAATTGAATATAATATAAAATAAAAGTATAATTGACATAATATATATTTATGATTAAACATTTACATATAATCAAGAATTTTTGTAATGATTTATATGAAAAAAAGAACTAAATAAATAATAATATATTATAAATTATTATTTCAAAAAATTATAATTTAATAATTTATATTAATTTAATTTTCTATTTAAAATAGTTAAAATATAAAATTATATAATTATAAAACAGTTTTATATATAAATTGATTACAAGTTATTTTGATACATATGTATTTTGTTAAAATATTATATAATTTTCTATAATTTTTAATTTTTATAAAACAATTTTTTTTTTTTTTTATATTAATTTGAAATTTTATTTATTTAACTTTTATTTGTTATTTTATTGAAGTTAATTTCTATTAGCATTAGTATTTTTTATTAAATATGTATTTAAAATTAAGAATATTTTTTCTATTATATTCTTCAATTTTATTAATTAAAACAGAAATTTATATTTTATATCTATTTTTTATATATATATATTTTTTTTTAATATTATAAAAAAAAAAAATTATAATTTTCAATTAAAGGTAAAAAAATTTTGATTAACCAGATGTAGATTATTATAAATAAAAATACGTTAAATTGAATAATATTTTATAGAAAATTATTTAAGTTAGATTTATATTAGAAAATATATTTTATATTTTTATTATTATTTAAAAAAAAAATGTATGTAATATATTTTTAATAATAAAAATATATTTCAGTTTATTTATTTATTTTATTTAATATATTTTTTTTTTTAATATCGTAATAAAAAAATATTTTTGATAATTATTATTCATAACTATATTGAAAATAATAAAGCAAAAATTTCTATACATAAAAAAGAAAAGCTTTATTATTTAATTTTAATATTTTTTTATATTTATTATTTTGATTTTTTCTGATTTTAACTTAAATTAATCTTCAATTTTCAGTTATAACATAAAAATAGTACATATATTTATTTAAAAAAAATAAAAAAATCTCATGCATATAAACATTTATTTTAATTAAATTACAATTTTTTAAAAAAGAAATAATAATAAATAAAGCTTGAATTTAAAATATGAAATCCTTAATAAAATTTATAATATTAGTCCAATTATTAATCCAATTAATAAAAGCCCAAAATCGTATTAGAGTTTTCGATTAATCTTTACAAAATTAAAATTTTTCTTAGGCCGAATTACAATCTTGGACAGTAATCTAATTTTTCAAAAGAGATTAAAAAGAATTAGATTCAAATGACTTTAATGAAAAAAATAAATATACATCGACATGTTAAGTAATAGGTTAATCTAAAAAACAAGACATATTCGGACTATAATAAAGATTTAATAAAAACACATAAATAACAAGAGTAATCCCATATGATTAAGAAGAAGATAGCCCTAATTCATGTAAAGTTACATTCGATTTATTTTTATATAATTATGCAAATGATGATATTTTTTATACAGAAGTTGATGGAAAAATAGGTATTTTTTTAAAAAAATAAAAGAATTAATAAAATAATATATATATATATATATATAAAAGTGTATTAATTTAAATGTTAAGAAATGTTTTTGTAAATAAAAAATAAACTAAAAAAAAATTAATGCTACGATCCTTATTATTTTGAAGATTAAGAAGTTTCTAGTTTTCCAGTTGAAATTTCCTTAAAAGACATCTAAAAAGACTTTACATTAAAAATATACGGAAAATTCTAATTTTAGGATACAACTTTTTGGGGAATCCGAAATTTCTAATTCTAATGCGATTTTCCTTAATGTCCCTAAAACTCCTTTCAATAAACCTCTAATAACAAATGTATATGTAATAATCCATTATTAAAATCCCAAACAAAGCCTCTCTAATGCAAATGTCCAAACAATACAGAACAAAGCGGCAGCAAATGTACCTGTTTAGGCTAAAACACCCAGCTTTCTCCTTCTGGAGACTCCTGTATATGCTAACTTGGCTACGTTTAAATTAACAACGCAAATTCTGCCAGCTTAATATGTAGAATTAAATGCGATGATTCCTGTTAAACCTGCCAAAGTAACAATAATAACACTTGCATATAATGTCGAAATAACTTAATCCTAACCACAGACAAAAAATCCTGCATATGTCCAAATAATACCCAATTATCCGCTGATAATAATAAATCTTGTATATGCCCTGGTTAAAACACTGTACTATCAGCGAACAAACAAACCTGTATTTGTCAAAAAGACTTCATAGTCCAACAAAATAACCCAATCTTAATCTGCTAACCAATCCCCACATGCGATCCTACTTGCTTATAATGCAAAGAAAACACAAACATCTGTCTAAAATGTCGCGAGAAATTAATTTTAAATATATCCCAAAAAACCTGCGAATGTCCGGGTGATCTCTAATTTTTTCCAGGATTTTTTTTATGCGTATGTACTGGAAATAACACTACTGTAAATCCTGAAGGTAATAAATGTATATGTTTGAATGATTAATATATGATTTCGGCAACCTAGCCCAGACTAGAGTGCGTTCTCAAGCCTCCCTGTGACCATACTTGTATCAAATGTTATGAAAATACGGACTAATGTTAAATTTGTGTTGGTAATTTATAATTAGCGTCCAGTAAGAATTATTGTACTTGCAAATCTCCAATGATATTAAGTCAAGATGAAAAATCATGTGAATGTACTGGAAATACAGAGATTTTGTAAGATAAAATTTCCTGTGGATGTTTAGGTACTAATACTTAATTAAATTCTAGGAAAACAGTCTGTGTATGTAAAACAGGATTCATTTAATTAACTAATGATAACCCAGAAAATATTCGACTAAACTGTGGGATTAATTGCGAAAATAATCTTATACTTAATTTAAATAATGACAAATGTATTTGCCCAAATAACCTTATATTAACTCCAAATGGGAAATCTTGTATATGTCCAAAAGGTGAATTTATTCCTTTATATAATAAAGGTGTACTTTATAAATGCAATGAATGCTCTCCTGGGTTTTATGTGAATAAAATTTAAACTTTGTGTATTTAATGTGGACCTGGAAAAGTACTTTTAGATAGAACTTTTTGCGTTTGTCCTGGAAATACTGATTTGCTTGATGATTTTGACACTTGTGGCTGTTTAGGAGAAGGTACTTAGCTTTCTTTAGATGGTTAAAATTGTATTTGTAATTAAGGTTTATTGCTTGTCTTTGATCTAAAAAGTACAGACAGATTGAAATGCGTGCCTTGCCATAAAAGTTGTCTTTAATGCAATTCAAATAATAATAAATGCGTTTAGTGTAGAGGCGGATTGGTATTAAATTCTGACGATTAAATCTCGTGTGTTTGTCCAATTTCTTTTTAAGTATATTAAAATGGAAAATGTGTATGTTAAAAAGGCTATTAATTTTCTAATTTATCTTAAAAATGTTTAATTTGTAGCGCAAATTTAATTTTGGATGAAAACTAAGATAATTGTGTATGTCCAAAAGGTATGATCTATTCTAATTTTGGCCAAAAATGTATTCGATGTTAAAATAATTTAATTCCTGCAAAAGATAAGGAAATATGTGTATGTCCGGAAGGCTTAAATTTTTAGGAAGGAAAAGACGATAACTGTATATGCCCAAAAGGGGAATATATTCACTAATATAATTCACAAGGCTTACTTTTTGCTTGCAGTTAATGTTAATTAAATTGGGTGACAAATGAAAATAAGGATAAATGTATAGGCTGTAATGGACAGTTAGTACTAACTTAAGATAGAAAAAACTGTACTTGTGTTGGAAATTTAGATATTATGCCTGATAAGGTTTCCTGTGGATGCTTAGGTGTAGGATCATAATTGAATTCCAAAAATAATTAATGTGAATGTAAAGAAGGTTTAGTGCAAATCTAAAAAAATTAATCTAATAGCTATAAACTAAATTGCAGATAATAGCCAGTTTGTCATAAAAGTTGTATTTAATGTATAAAGGATGATGATGAATGTGTGTAATGTCCAGAAGGAATGATTTATAGCAGTGATAAATTACAATGCATCTGTTAAGGAAATACTATAAGGTTAAATAGTTTTAGAGAATGTGGATGTCCGGGAAGTAATACAGTGCTTTCGAAAGATAAAAAGTCATGTGTTTGTTAAAGTAGATATATTGTTGATGATAATAATAGTTTAGAAAGTTTAGAAAGTAATGTTTTAAACTGTAGACCAATTCCCGTTTGTAATAGTAGTTGTTTGTAATGTAAATAAAATGATGATGAATGTATATTATGCCCTAATAATTTAATATTAAGCGATAATAAAAAATAATGTATTTGTCCAAATAACACTGAACTTTCTGAGGATATGGATAATTAGTAATGTGTATGTTTAGGTAATGGTACAGAATTAAATAAAGAAAAAAATTAATGTATATGTAAACAAGGATTAGTTATAAATTATAGATTATCTACCTAAACGAGACTTATATGTAGACGACTCCCTATATGTCATGCTAGTTGTTTATAATGCTAAAAAAACGACGAAGAATGTATAAAATGTCCTGAAGGAATGTATTTGAATGAATAAAAAACTTAATGCTTATGTCCTAACAATACTGAGTATTCATTTGATTAAAAAAGTTGTGTATGTACAGGAGAATATGCTATTTTATCAGTTTAAGATCAATAATGTAAATGTTAAGAAGGATACATCATTTCATAAGATTAACCTAAGCTAATATGCAAACTTAGACCTGTATGCCATTCTAGTTGTTTATAATGCATTACTGATAGTGATGAGTGTATATAATGCCCTAATAATTTAATATTTAGTGATGACAAAAAATAATGTAATTGTCTAATAACACAGAATACTCTGCGGATTATAAGTAATGTGTATGTTTAGGCTAAGGCACTATATTAAACTCTAAATAAAATTAATGCATTTGCTAATAAGGATGGATTCCTTCTCGTCGTCAAATAAATAGAAATAGATTAGAATGTAGAGAAGTAAAGTAATGTGATAAAGATTGTTTATAATGTTTACCTAATTCTGATATATGTATATAATGTCCTGAAGGAAAGTCTGTTAATGATGAAAATACATAATGTATATGTCCAGGTAATACTTAAATTTTACTAAATAATACTTGCGGTTGTCCTGGAAAATATACTTAACTTTCTAAAGATAGAAAATATTGCGAATGTATTTAATTCTTTATAGTTTTACAAACAAATCCTTTTATTTGTTAAGAAGACCTTAGCATATAAAACTGTAGCCTAGTAGCGAATTCTAAAAAATAAGATGATATATGTATATGTGATCCTCTTTAAGATTTAATTCCCTTATACGTCGGAAAAACTTTAATAAGTTGTGATTAATGTCCTGATAATCTAATTATAAATCAAGAAAAAACAAAATGCATATGTCCAAACAACAGTGAACTTCTCGAAGATGGATAAACTTGTGGTTGTACTGGCTTTAACACTATATATTCACCTTAATCAAACTCCTGTAAATGTAAAGAAAACTATATTGCACAAAGCATTAAACCTATTTTAAATTGTAAACCACGCCCAGAATGTCATTCTAGTTGTTTATAATGCTAAACTGATAGTGACGAGTGTATACAATGCCATGAAAATTTAATTTTATCTCAAGATAAAAAATCATGTATTTGTCAAAATAATACAGAATTGGCTTAAGACAATTATTAGTGTATTTGCCTTGGTGCTGGAACTGAGTTAAATGAGAATTAAGACGAATGTGTATGTAAACAAGGATTAGTTATAAATTATAGATTATCTACCTAAACGAGACTTATATGTAGACGACTCCCTATATGTCATGCTAGTTGTTTATAATGCTAAAAAAACGACGAAGAATGTATAAAATGTCCTGAAGGAATGTATTTGAATGAATAAAAAACTTAATGCTTATGTCCTAACAATACTGAGTATTCATTTGATTAAAAAAGTTGTGTATGTACAGGAGAATATGCTATTTTATCAGTTTAAGATCAATAATGTAAATGTTAAGAAGGATATATCATATCATAAGATTTACCTAAGTTAATATGTAAGCTTAGACCTAAATGCGATCCTGGATGTATTTAATGTTATAAAGATAGTGATGAATGTAAATAATGTCAAGGAAACTTAATATTAAGTATTAATAAAGTATAGTGTATATGTCCTAATAATACTGAGTATGCATAAGATAAATATAATTGCACATGTTTGGGAAACGGAACTTTATTGAATGAATCTCAAGACTATTGTGTATGTAAACAAGGATTAGTTATAAATTATAGATTATCTACCTAAACTAGACTTATATGTAGACCATTTCCTATATGTCATGCTAGTTGTTTATAATGCTAAAAAAATGACGAAGAATGTATCAAATGTCCTGAAGGAATGCATTTGAATGAATAAAAAACTTAATGTTTATGTCCTAATAATTTAGAAAGAATTTAAGATAACATTTCATGCGGTTGTACAGGATAATATGTTTAATTTAATTAAGATAAATAAATTTGTTTATGTATAGATGGATATATTCCTATTTCTATATCTCCAAATCTAAATTGTAAACCACGCCCAGAATGTCATTCTAGTTGTTTATAATGCTAAACTGATAGTGACGAGTGTATACAATGCCATGAAAATTTAATTTTATCTCAAGATAAAAAATCATGTATTTGTCAAAATAATACAGAATTGGCTTAAGACAATTATTAGTGTATTTGCCTTGGTGCTGGAACTGAGTTAAATGAGAATTAAGACGAATGTGTATGTAAACAAGGATTAGTTATAAATTATAGATTATCTACCTAAACGAGACTTATATGTAGACGACTCCCTATATGTCATGCTAGTTGTTTATAATGCTAAAAAAACGACGAAGAATGTATAAAATGTCCTGAAGGAATGTATTTGAATGAATAAAAAACTTAATGCTTATGTCCTAACAATACTGAGTATTCATTTGATTAAAAAAGTTGTGTATGTACAGGAGAATATGCTATTTTATCAGTTTAAGATCAATAATGTAAATGTTAAGAAGGATACATCATTTCATAAGATTAACCTAAGCTAATATGCAAACTTAGACCTGTATGCCATTCTAGTTGTTTATAATGCATTACTGATAGTGATGAGTGTATATAATGCCCTAATAATTTAATATTTAGTGATGACAAAAAATAATGTAATTGTCCTAATAACACAGAATACTCTGCGGATTATAAGTAATGTGTATGTTTAGGCTAAGGCACTATATTAAACTCTAAATAAAATTAATGCATTTGCTAATAAGGATGGATTCCTTCTCGTCGTCAAATAAATAGAAATAGATTAGAATGTAGAGAAGTAAAGTAATGTGATAAAGATTGTTTATAATGTTTACCTAATTCTGATATATGTATATAATGTCCTGAAGGAAAGTCTGTTAATGATGAAAATACATAATGTATATGTCCAGGTAATACTTAAATTTTACTAAATAATACTTGCGGTTGTCCTGGAAAATATACTTAACTTTCTAAAGATAGAAAATATTGCGAATGTATTTAATTCTTTATAGTTTTACAAACAAATCCTTTTATTTGTTAAGAAGACCTTAGCATATAAAACTGTAGCCTAGTAGCGAATTCTAAAAAATAAGATGATATATGTATATGTGATCCTCTTTAAGATTTAATTCCCTTATACGTCGGAAAAACTTTAATAAGTTGTGATTAATGTCCTGATAATCTAATTATAAATCAAGAAAAAACAAAATGCATATGTCCAAACAACAGTGAACTTCTCGAAGATGGATAAACTTGTGGTTGTACTGGCTTTAACACTATATATTCACCTTAATCAAACTCCTGTGATTGTAAACCAGGTCATATAATCTCTACCACAATTCCAAACCTTAACTGTCTCCCTAAACCATAATGTCACAATAGTTGTTTACAATGTAAAACTGACACCGACGAATGCATCAAATGTCCTTCTTAATTTTAACTTTCATCAGACAAAAAATATTGCATTCCATCTTAATGTGACCCTATTTGTCAAAAATGCGACCCTGAAACTTTATTATGTATAGATTGCCCACCTGCTTATTCTCTTTCAGCAGACAAAAAATCCTGTAAACCTTCCCATTGCCATCCTAGTTGTCATTGTGAAATTTCAGACGGCGAATGTGGTACATGTAGTAAATGCACTAGATGTAGATAATCTGAAATTTCTATTATGGTAAACTAAGATTTCTGTATCTGTAAATCTCCCGAATATAAACGTAAAATAGACTCCACATGGGAATGTGAAAAATAAGATGTAGTTTTTGAAGTTCCCAAATGTGTCTGGTAATTATTTGATTAAATAATAAATATGGTCATAAAATCTAATTGTAGTATATAAACAGATACTACTAATAATAATAATGTTTAATATATATAAACTATCGTCACTTTTGATTGGAGTAGGACAAAATAGGCTATTTTAGATGAAGAATGTAAATCTCTTTTATAATCTAAAGTTTTATTTTCGAAAGATTAAAATTCTTACACTTCTTTAAATAATTAATATATAGAAACAAAATCCTATACAGAAATACATATAAAAATTCCTCTTATAGATATATATAATATTGCCTCATTTACCAAAATTGAACAACGAACAATATACTAAACTATATTTTTAGCACTTGAGCTTTCCTATTCTTCTGAACCAATAAGACAACATAGATTTTAATTGAGAGTTTTTACTAATAGAGATTAAGTTTAAGTATTCTAATTTAATACTTCAAAATAAATAACTGATGGATGTGATAAAGGATAATAATGTATTATTGTAGCCGATTTAGATACTAAAGGATTTATTTGTAAAGACTCCTAGTGTAGTTAATAATTGGAAAATACTAATAATTAAATTCCTGTTTTTTAAGTCGGAGATCATTTATATATTAGAATTTAATTTGTGGATAATACTTATACAAAGTTTTTATCAGTCAAAAGCTGTGTTTTTGCTGATGATAAGGGTATTTATAATTATATAAAGAATTAACATTATTGGGTTTTAAGATAAAATTTAGGCTCTGTGGATATTGATGTTTTATTGTTTTAACCACAAATAAATGCTATGATCGAAATTAGATTAAAGATTTCAGATAAAGAAGATGAAAATAGGCTTAGAAATTTAGGATCTTAAGTTTAAAATGATGATAATTTAGTGAAATAAAATTTCAAAATTTAAGTTTTTTCGTAAAATGATGCTTAAAATGTTGAAAATGAAAAAATTTCCAAAAATAATTTCTCAAGTGTTAGATATACTATATCGATTTTAGTTTTAACATTGCTTTTACTGATTTGATTATAATTATTAAAAAAAAATTATTAAAATTTTATATTTTTATATTCTTATAATTAATAAAAGAGTATATTATTTTTATCATTAAATATATAATTATTTTTAAATAATATTAAAATTTTTAAGATTTTATAATTATATTTAAAATAAAAATAAAGACTATTTTTTATAAAATTATAAAAAATAATAATAATTAAATATGTATACAATTATAAAAGAAAACAATATTAATATATATATAATTAAATTTAACCTCTAAAAGAACAAATAAAAAATCATAATATATTCTTCTCCGAACACTAAAAAGATTAATATATTAAAATAGATTAAGCTTTATCCCCTTCTTCAGCCGTATTTGATAATTTTTATTAAATTTATTTATTATGTTACCTGCTTCCACCTGAATTAATAGTATTATTATATTTTTAATAAAGTTCCTACTTCGAAAAATAAGAAGTAACTGGATTTTATATCGCATAAGTAGTAATGAAAAATGGATAAGCCTAATCATAATTCATTTATTCATCTTCTTATTTAAACTCGAAAAAATTCTTCACTAAAATTTATGAAGGAAAAACCCAATATAAAATACTAATAAAGATTCCCAAAACCTAAAAAACAGAAATTTCCCCATTTAACTAATAATAAAAAATAGTATTCGAAATCGCAAATATAGGTATAATAAACTCCAAAAAATTCGTCATTTCAAGCGAAAGAACAAGACTTAAAGACTACTCTACACTCCTATTATTTAACAAATTATATTTCTACACCCAATAATACATAATGAACCCAATTAATACAAAAGTCAATCCCATAGGTAATATAGACGAATAAAAAACACTAATATACATCGTATTTATTATTTCTGCGTAACAAATTTCTATCTCGTGCACTGGAAGTTCATATAATTAATTCGCCTCGTTTTAATAAAGAAGGCATTTTTTTCCTTTTTTTTATTCCCAATATCTGATAAAAACCTTATATAAATACATAGGATTTACGAAATCGAAAAAACATGAATTCAATTAATCTAATGCAAAATAGAAAATCATTATATAAATAAGCCCATTTTTCCCATATACATTGTTCCCGTATACCATATTAATAAAAGTAACGACTAAGCCATTACTTATAAATAAAGAAATAGACAACTTTTATGCTATATCCAATTTATAAGATGTATAAGTATTATGTTTTTGATAATTTACAATAAATTCGAATATATTTCGTATAATAATACTATTTGTAATAATCATAATTATCGAAAGCTTTATATTTGATAACTGCTCCTTTAAAAATTATAACAATTAAAAAGTAGAATCTTGGATTTCTTTTTGATTTTCTAAGGGATCTTCTTATCCTATTTGGTTCATGAAATATATAAAAACAGTATATATTATTAAAACTATACAAGTTAAAAAAAAAGCATGCATTTTTTTAGTTTTCTTCTTATTTTCTTATATTTATAAATTTTCCCATATAATATCAAGTGGTTCCGGAGCCTATATTACATATATTTGATTTCCCTTAAATTCAAACGATTTTCCTAGACTATCTTTGTGTTTAAAATTTAAAATATGGTCCTTTATTTCTCCCAAAATGGATTTTTATTCTTCTTTTAAAACTACTTATTTATAATCTTCTTTGTGGAACGAAACATACGCAATTCCGCTAAAATTTTCTTGATTTCTGATTATTTTATATTCTTGATTATATAAATATTTTAATTATTCTTCTATTGAATCTCCTAATTATTCATTTTTTAAAATTTTTTGTTTTCTTTATTCAATAGCCTAACTGATTTATTATTTTCTGCTCTTCCCATCTAAAATACTATAAACTAAATTAATTTCTTCTACAATGTTTTCTTCGGAACATATATTTTCTTTTTAAATTATATATTACTCAAAAAATTCCTTTATTTATTACTAAGTAGTTTATTTTGGTAAACCAGTAACTTAAATTGTAAAATCAGAAGGGGTTAATTCTTAATTATCATATTAAATGTCTTTTTCTATTTAAAGTTTTCGAAAATATAAAAATTAAATAATTAAAACAAAAATAGTTAAAAAATTAAAAAAATCCTGCCAAAATAATTATTCTTTATTATTTTTTTTATTAATTAATGTAAAAATAGATATAAAATCACTCTAACAAATAACATGTTTTAAATTTTATTAAATTTATATTTTATTTTTTCCAATAGAAGAAAAACATCCGTTTCCTTTATAATTTGTTATTAAATTGTATATACCTGTAATACTTAAAATTAAATATATTATAATTATACATTAAATTAAAAATTAAAAAAATAAAGGATATCCAGATCCCAAAAATGATAATTTGTCATAACTTTAACATGTACTTAAATATTCCTTTTCTAATTAATAATCACAACATGGGCATATGTTATATTATTCAGATTAATTTTATTATGGACGTTTATCGATTCCTATCTTTTTTGCTTTTGCATGTCTTTTTGCTGCATTCCAATCAGGTGGTATTTGATAAGGATCGTATTGTTTTTCTATATGTATTCTAAATATTGTTTCATTTTTTTAATTTATGAATACTGACTTATTGTATATTCCATTTATTTCTTCTACTATTGGAACATTTATTTATGCTTTTGATGTTTCTTATAATTATTGATTTTTTTAATCTTATTATAAATATTTATTTGATAAAGAAATTTATTTTTCTGAACTCATTTTTATTTTATTTTAATTATTTGATTTTTTGTTTGATATTGTTTATTATCTAAATTCAACTTTTTGTTTTAATTATTTAACGATTAAAATTATGTATTTATATAATAATTAATAATAATAATATTAATATATTAAATTGATTATATTATTTACAAAAATATTTAAAAAAAATTAATCAATAAAATTTTAAAATAACAAAAAGCCTATAATCATGATATAATATTAAAAGTTAATATTTTAATTGATATTTAAATGTTTATAATAATTTGATTATAAAAATTTATAAAAAAAGAAAAGTTACATAAATATAAATGATTAAAATATTAAGAATACATATATTAAAAATATTTTTATAAAATAATTTAATTTTGAATTTTTATCCTATTTTAAATAAAATATTAGTATGCTAAATAATATTTATTTAAAAAAACAATAATTATATATTTATATAAGTAATTAAATAATTAAAATATTAAATTATAAATTATAAATTATTTTAAATCAATTTTTAATTTATATTATTTAAAAAAAATATTATATTATCGAAAGTTATAAAAAAATTCATATATTTATATTTATAAAAAAAAAAATTAATATATTATATAAAGTTTTTAAATATTTTATATAATATTATAAAGTATAAACATATAAACTATTTTAAATAATTTAAATTATTTATTATAATAAAAAAATATTTTTATATTAACAAAAAAAAAATTAATAAATTATATACATGATTTATTTATAAAAAAATAAAATAAATTTTAAAATTAAATTTTTTTAAAATTATAAATAAAAATATATATATATATATATACATATATATATATGAACATAATTTTTTTTTTTAATATATATAATAAAAATTATAGATTTTTTTTTTTTTAATATATTATAATTCAAAAAAAATAAAATATATTTAATAATCTTTAGAATTTTATAAAAATAAATTTTTTAAATATAAAAATATTTAATTAAATAAAATATTAAGAGCTAAAATATACATAAAAAATAAATTAAATATAAAAAATATAATAATATTAGATTATATATCATTATTATGTAATCAATATCTTTGAATTACTTAAATATAAAAATATTTATTAAATATATTTATTAATATTATTTTTTATTTTTTTTAATATATATATATATAAAAATAATTATATATACATATATACATATATACATATATACATATATACATATATACATATATACATATATATATATACATATATACATATATACATATATAAAAATCTACATAATTTTATAAATATTTTTTATATTAAATTTATTTTTTATTTATTTTAATATTTTTACAAAAAATAAAATAAATATTATTTTAATTTATTTATTTTATTCATTTTTAACTAAAAGTATATTTTAAATAATTAAAACGAATAAAAAAATTACTAGAAAATTAATTTATAAATATAAAAATTACTATATTAATAATCCCAAGAACTAAACAAAATAAATGATCTCCAAATTTAAGTTACACACATCCTAAATATTTTCCAAAATAACTAAAAACAATTAAATAAATTACCAAAAAAAATCCTATTTATATTAAAAATACTGCCTTATTCCAAAAGAAATTATAAAAATCATATATATTTTTTTATAAACAAGTACTGCACAATATATTAAACAATTAAAGATAAACAAGACAATTAAAACAAATAGTATACCTAACATTCCACAAATAAGAACCCTAATTTAAATCATAAAACCCAGAAAAAAAATCATCTAGATTTAAGTAATAATTTAAATCCATAAATAATAAAAAGCATAAAGTCATAATCTAAAAAAATGTTTAAAAAATTATATTTTTCCACATTTCAGATGTTATAATATACTCTTTTTATGATAAAGGAGGTTCTTTTAGTAATTATTAAGACGGCTCTTCTCTTACCATTATATATGCTGCGAAATCATCTACTAGAATATTCAAAAAAAGAAACTAGGCTGAATTAAACGGATGAAATTCATTTGAGAAAAACACATGTATGAATAAAATAAATATAATAACATAGTTTTATGAAAGTATCAACTAAAAATATTTCCTAATAAATTCATAAATATTCCTCGAATATAAAATAGCAGGTATTATAGAAGAAAAATTATCATTCTTTAAAATTATATCGGCTGCCTTTATATATAAATAAAAGAAGAATATATTTATATGTCTAAAATTATTATAATTATTACTTATTTAACAACTTCATTACCACTTAAGCCCAATCCAATACCAACTTATGCTTTTTGTATAATTTAGAAATCCGCAGTATCATCTCCTGTAACTGCCACAATATATTTCAATTATCTAATTATTATTATTATATATTATATAAATAAAAAACACATCTAAAAATATATAATATTTACATTAATCCTGTCACTAAAGCATCTTTAGCTTTTGAGGTTCCTTAACTAATAATTCTCAATTCTTTTATAAGTCTTTCAAAATTATGAATATCTCTTATCTTTTCTACCAACTATCCTCTCCCTAATTTTGAGCTATACTACCCGATTCCACTAATGCTATTTAAGAACTTCTCCGCATCCAATATTGCCATATTATTTTCTTTGTATTTTAAATTTTAATTTAATAATCCAATAAGTTTTCCTGCCGCAATCGAAGTTTCTCTATTATCCCCAGTCAAAGCCCTAACTGTAATCCCTGCATGTTGGCATTTTTTTAAAGCCTCTGGAATATCTTACCTGAAATCATCCTTTATCCCCACCAAACCCAAAAACACTAGATCTTAATTCAACTTCTCTTCACTATAAATAACCTAACAATCATACTAAATATCTTTATACGCGAAGAGTATAATTCTCAAGCTTTCGTTTGCGCCAAACAAATGTATTTAATTTCTAATTTAATTTTCAAAGACTAATTTAATTTAACATTAATGCCCTCTTTATTTCTGTATTCAGTACATTTATCCAGTATTAATTCTGAAGACCCTTTAAAATATACCCTTAAAATTCCTTATTTTTTTTAAAAAACAGTAATCATTCTTTTCTACTTAGAATTGTATGGATAAACCTTCTTTATTCTTGACGAAAGCCTAAATTTCTCATAATCATATCCTAGCTTAAATGCATATTCTAATAAAGCTGATTCTATTGAAATTCCAGTCTTATCAACTAAATTTCTATTGATTTATAAAATATCAGTTGAATTAATGCATATATTCTCACATAAAATTTCCAAAGACCTATTATTCATAGAATGATAAACTAATGCCTCATTCACATCTTTGAAAACCTGTTCATTAGCATATATTTTTTCCACAAAATTAATATTTTTGGTCACACACCCAGTCTTATCAGTAACAACTGAATCTACAAAAGCCAACCATTAAAAAGCCTATACATCTTTAACAATTATATCTTTTTAAAATAACTAATACATAGAATATGAAATATAAGTTCTATATCCTTAATATAGTCCGTCCTACATTAAATAAAACGAAATGGCCACAATCATTTGCACTGACAGTATAATTTCTTAAAAAATTTAAACATACAGTAACTTATCATGTTAAAACTGATAAAAATTCTGATATATAGGCCATAAAAAAGTAAATAAAAAAACCACTAATAAACTCCTTTATCCACTTTTCCTTATTCTTCCTTGAATTTCTTTCAGTTTATCCGACAAAGGGTTTTTTTGCATTATTATAGACTATTACTAAACCCTATTTATGAGTGTATTCTACCCCACACTACATACTAATAGCTCCCCTTGCCCAATCATTATTTAAGATCCAGAGTAAATAAAACAATCTATATATATCTCGCCTCTTTCCTGAGCGGTTTTTTAAACTCCTTCCCTTCCACTAATTAAAGGAGACTCATTTACTAATAAATCATTTGATTTTAATAATATTCCGTCTATATTTATTATATCTCCTGCTTCTATTAATAAAATATCTCCAACAACTAAATTAGACGATTTTATATATTAAACTAGAGAATTTCTGACCACTTTTACTTTATGTTCTGTATTTTAAAAGACTAAATTAGCAAATTCAGTTTCATCTTTCCATTTTTTGAAAGTTTTGATAACTATACTCACTAAAAGCATAAAAACAGTCCCTATTTAAATTTAGTGATCTATATTAGGAGAAAGTATATGTTTAGTTTCATATTTCTAGAAAAACTTAAAAATAAATAAAATAAACGCAATGAATAGAATTACTAAAAAATTTTTCTTTGACAAGTTAACCCTTAAAATTTCTCTAAAAGTAACTTATTTACCTCCTATAATTTTATTTTCTCCATAAAGCTATTTCCTTTAAAAAAAATCATTTTCATTATAAATATTTAAACCAGTTCTAATATCTATCCGAAGTAAATTAGCCAAGCCTTAAATTTCTCCTAATTTATGTAAGTATTTCCTTTATTTTCCTTATAAATATTCTCTTATATTACTGTTATTATTATTCTTGATGTTTTAATTATTTTCATTTAAGTATTCAGTTGTATTATTTGTATCTATATGCGTATTTTAAGCTTATTTGCACATTTTGCATATACAATTTTATCCATTATTTGTTTAATGGGGTATTACTTCTAGTTCTTCATCATCAATTTTTGAGTATTATTGCGGTAGTAAAAATAATTACAATAAGTCCTCATTTTTTAATTCAATTGTTAATTGATTTTAAGGAACTTTTTTAAAACATTGAATTAAATGTGCCCTATCTTTTTTTAAAAGTAATGTTTGATATTGATTATATTAGTAATCTATTAAATTATACTTTAAAGAACTTTGCATTATATATATATATATCTATACACAAATACTTATATATGTTTAATAATTTATTGTATATATTTGTATTTTTATATTAATATTTTTAAAAAAATTAATATTAAATATAAATTTTATAATAATTAAATTTAACATATTAAATATATATAAATAAAAATAATTATATATATATAAAAAAAGTATTATAACAATATCATTATTATTACTATTTTTTCATCATTTATTCCTTTTTCAAGAAATAACTAGTTAAATAATCCTAAACAAGTAACGTTATAGCCGCATGTGGAGCTACCCTTGCAATAAAAGTAGGGAACCCAACCCACAATCCAGTTATTCCCTCTCTTCTAACGCTAATAGTAAAACAATCACTAAACCCTCTATACATGAGATTTCCATTAGCATCCGGTCTTTATCTCTATAATTTAGTTTTAATATTATCACAAGGTAAACTCATAAAAGCCGCCACCACCCCCGAAACAGCTGACGCGAAAATTTTTGTAATTGCCTTATCATTTGTTTATGTATAAGCATTTATTCTTTCTTTAACTTCATCAAAAGTTGAAAGCATTCCCAAATTCATGGTAAGGGCTCTCATAATAGTAGGCGAGCATCCTTTCCAGAGTGCTAAAATTCCCTCTTCATTTACTATTCTAAATAAGGCATCGAACACATTTTTATAATTTCTCCTTTAATCAAAAGGTAATATTGTATCTCCCTAAAAACGCACTAAAGCCAAATCTGCTGGATTCCCTATTATAGAAGCTATAAATCCAGCAGATAATGAACATATCGCCTTTTCACTTAAAGTAAGGTTTTAGCCTCCTTTTTTCATCTTTATGTTATCTGAAAATGTCCTAAAAAGACCTAAACGAGCTGTCGCATATAATGCTTGTCGTAATATTGCGGAATCTATACCCTTGTAAAGGCCTTTTATACCTTCTTATTTTATTACATCATTAGCGACTTGAACAGAGCTTATTTTATTACCTTTTTTTAATGTATTTGCTGATGTTTCTTCGGATATTATTTGAATGCGAACTTTTACAGTATCTATGGGTTAAATTATTAATGTGGCAAACATTCCTGAAAAACCGCCGGTAAAAAAAGGTCGTATTTTTTCGAATAATGTGGGTTAATTAAGAGGGACTTATGCCATATTTTTATTTTTTAATTTTTACAATAAATATTTTAATATATTAATTTTTAATTAATTAATTATTAACTCTTTATATTTTTTTCATTTTAATTTTTATTATTATATATACATAATAATCATTTATATTTTTTCTGAAGTATTCAATTAAACACAAACAATAAACCTTTTTATTAAGAATAAATATTTATTAATAAATATTTAATATTTTTATTTAAAATTAAATATAATGACTATTATAAAATTATTAAAAATATATTATAAATCATTTATTAATAAAATTTAAACAAAAAATAAAAAATTAATATATATAAATATTTTTATTTAATTTATTTTATTTTTAATATATTTTTTTTATAAAAATGAATTTTTTAATTTTAAAACAAATATTTTTTATTAATAAATTCATTATAATTATAATGTCGTATATATAATAAAAAACATACATTTTTAATAAATCCTACTATTTTTATATTTTTCATAAATATATATATATATATTTTTTTTTATATATAAATTTTATTTTTATCAATATATAATTCTTATAATTCTAAAATCTATTTTTGTTAAATATTTTAATATTAGCAAAATATTAGTTAATATGTATTTTTATAAATAGAATAAAAAAATCAAAAATTAATAATAATATATCTAAATATTCTAAAAAAAAAAATTATATATATATTTATTTATGTCGAAATCAAATAGTACTCAATAATTAAACTAAGATGATAATTCATAAATTTCTAAATATAATTCTTAAGAAAAAATAAACATAAATTTTTATGAATAAATAAATTTAACGCCTGATTTATCATCAGAAAAAAAAAGTGTTTTCTAAATACAAATTCCATAATAGAAAAGACTCGAAAAATCCCACAAAAACGAAATTAAAAAAAACGAAAATAAAAAAAATCTATCATTAGAAAATTTGTAAAAAAAACTATAAAAAAACCTCCCTTTAAAATAAAATAAATAATAATCTTAGCAAGATATAAAAAAGCTACCTTTATAAAACTATGTAATATATATAAAAAAATAGTCTTCAAAATATAAAATAAAAGTAAATTATGGTTGATGTAAGAACAGATGATGGTGAACTTATTTCTTAATGCTATTTCCCTTTACTTTAAAAACTAGGAGCTTTAGTAATAAAAAGATTTACACCTATATTAGATATAATTATTTGGAAAGATGGAAATACAAATAATTTTAATAAAGCAAAAGAATTAGGAATTATTGTTGTTAATACTGAATGGCTTAATTAATGCATTATTTAGAATATTTTTGTTGAAACAAAAAATTATTAAGTGAAATAAATTGATAATAATTATTTTATTTAGTAAAAGTCTAAATAAATTTTTTTAAAAGAATGGGGAGTTTCAAAGATATTTAAGGAATTAATTAATAAATAGGAATTTAATTAAATACATTCATGTGATTAATTATAGTTTTATTATAAAAGTATCATTTAAGAGGTTTATTTTCAAAAATTAATGTTGTAAAATAATAAGTTTATAGATAAAAAAACTAATCTTTATTTATATAATAAATTTCTTTTTAATAAAAAGTTTAAATTTTAATCATTTTTTAAAAACATTTAAGATAATTATAATGATTTTTTTTAATTAACTAATTATAATGTAAAAACTTTATATGATAATAAAAGTAAAAATGATTGAAAAATATTTTTATTTTTTTAGATAAAATTAATTAGTTATATTTTAATTAAGAAATAAAAATAAACATATTATATAATTAATATGTAAAAATATATATTATTAATTTATATATATATATATATATATTTATTTCTTTTTTTTATTTTTTATATTGTATCATGTATTTTTAAAATATTAATAAAATTATTATTATAATTTTTTAATTTAAATAAAATAAATATTATTAAATTAAATTATATAAATACATATATATATTTAATTATTATATTAATATAATTTTTTATTAATTCTTATATATATCTACACTATATAATTAATTATTTAAAATACTAAAGAATTATATTTATAAATAATAAATATATATAAATAAAAAATATATTTATATTTAATATAATAATAATTGTAAAAAAAATTATATTAAAAACAAGAATAAATAAAATAATATATTTTATTAAGCCGAAATTGAAAATAAAATATAAATAAGAAAGTGTAAAAAAGAAAATAAAATATTAACAAAAAAATAATTTATTAATATCAATAAAGGCTTGAAATTCTATAATATAATTATTTGAAATGTAAGAAAATATATTTATATAAATTAATAAAATATTCATACTTTTTATTATTATTATTATTATTATTTTTTAAATAAAAAAAAAAAATTAAATAAAAAAATATATATTTACATAAATTAAATAAAAAAGAAAAATTATAAAAACACACATATATATAAATTTATTTTTTTAATTATATAATTTAATAAATATTTATGTCTTCAAAATCAATAGAAGAATAAATTTTAGATATAATCGACAAACTCTATGAACTACAAAGTTTTCGAGATTTTCGCGATCCAGTAGATGTCTAAGCATTAGGTTTAACCGACTATTATGACATAATAAAGAATCCAACAGACATATCAACAATAAAAGTTAGAAAAAAATAAAAAAAAAAAATTATAATTAAAAAAATAAAATAAAAAAAGAATAATTTTTTAGATGGGAAATATAAATATATAAAACAAGTATATGATGACTTTAATTTAATAATTAAAAATTGCAAAACATATAATCGTTTACCAGATCATCCAATAAATATTTGCGCCGATAAATTAAAATAAACATTCAACAAATATTTCTAAAAAATCGAGGAATCAAATAAAAACATAGGTTTCTATTTAATTTAAAGATAAACTAAAAAAAATATATATATAAAATAGATTTAAGTACATACGAATTATAAATCGACTAAAATAATCTTACAAATAAACTCGAAAAAAAAAGAAAAAAAATTAGAAGGTTTAGACGAAAAAAATATCCTTTCTTAAGAAATAATTAAAAGAAAATAACTTCCCTAATTATCATCTTAAATATCATCATATTCAAATATTGAAACTAAGTAAATAAAAACTCAAGAGAGCAATATTTAATAATAAACATAATAAACATAAACTTTTCAATAACTTCAAGAAGAGGAAATATATTTAAAAAACAAAAAAAATAACTAAGATTATTAAGAATTAATTTAGAAAATATTAGCCTTGAAATTCGTAAATAAAAGGATATTTTTAAAGACTAAGAGAATAAAGCTTAACTAAAAAAAATTACATTTAATAAAAACGAAGATTCTTTATAAAAACTTCTCTAAAAATAAAACATTACTACAGATTCTCCTTCTTTGTTTTTTGATGATATAATAATTAAAAAAAAAAAAGATATAAAAAATGAACCAATTTCTTAAAAATAAAAAGATAAGCATTTACCAAAAAATAAGACTCCAAGTGTACCTTCATCTTCTGATCTTTCTATAAGTAAGGAAAAAATTCCAAAACCGGAATTATAAAAGTCTTAATTGACAAAAGCTTAGTAAATTATATAAAGCAATGAGGAAAAAAAAGGAAAGAATTAGAATAATAAAGACTAAAGGAAGAAATACAAAAATAAAAAATGATTTAAAAATAATAAATTAATAATACTGAAGTCAAAATTAAGGATTCTTCAAATAAGCAATAAGATAAAATTAATAAAGTAAATGAAATTTCATTAGAAAAAAAAACTCAAGATAGACAATAGGAAAAAAGCTAAGAAAAAATAAAAAAAATTGATGAAAATCCTCAAAATAATAATGAGATTTCGCAAAAAAATCATTTATAAAAAGATAATTATCGAGAATAATTAAAAGACTAAATTTTAAAATAAAATACATAAAAGGAATCAACTTTAAAAGAAAATTCTATTAAAGATTAAAAAAATTCTAATATATCTAAAGATTAAACTATAGTATAATAAATATTAATATAGAAAGAATAAAATATAATATAGAAAGAATAAAATACAATATAAAAAGAATAAAGTATTTCATAGAATGAATAAAATATTATTTAAAAAAATCAAAATATATCATAAAAAAACCAAAATAATTTCTAAAAGGAATAAAGTAATTTAGTTAAATAAAAATAAATATTAACTTAATAAAAAGAGTAAATAATATCGCCAAAAGAATAAAAAAATTAATCAATAGAAAAAACAATTTAAACAAAAGAACAACCAATTCATTAAAAATAGTAAACATAATTAATAAAAGGATAGATTATATAAACAAAGGAATAAATAGAATAATCAAAAGAATAAATAATAACTAAATAGCAAATAAATTAATAATCAATAGAATTAACAGTATAATAACCAAAGTAACAATAGTCATAAATATCCAAAGAACAAACAATATAAAACAAAGATCAAAAAATCAAACAAAAAAATGCAACTTAAGATATAAATTAATTACACAAAGAATTAAAAGATAGTTTTATAATTTAAAAAGAAAATTAATAAGTCATTGAAAAATAAGAAAATTTAATATAAAATGATAATTAAACATAAGAAAAAAATATTAATACTACAACCCAAAAAATAGAAAAAAAAAGAGAAGAAGATTTTTAAGTAAAAACACAAATAATACAATAAACATATTAATAATAATAGGCATTTTAGTAAATAT